GGCCATCTGCAAATCAACAAGAGAGCCCTCACTAGAAACCAAATCAGCTGGAACCTTAATCTTGAACTTCTAACCTCTAGTACAGTGAGAAAATTAATTTCTGCTGTTTAAGCCACCCAATCCGTGACATTTTGTTCCCCAGCATTTGAATATATATACATGTATACATATTATGCATCTTCTATTGATTCTGTTTCTCTGGAGAACCCTGACTAGAACAATACAGTCCTTCTAGGTTTTTCTTGGCCATTGTCTATTGAGCTTCCCCTTGGTGGTTCTAAACCTCTCCTCTCTTTTCTACTGGTTTTCACTTTACTGGAGCAATTGAGTCCCTCAGAGTTGTCCTCAGCCTTATCTCTGCCTCTAAAATCCTTCCTCCTTAGCCCATCCTTTCCACCATCTCTCCTTCTTCTATAACTTCAACTTCTATCTTCAGCATACAACTGTGTTCAAGCATTCAAGTCTCTCCTACCTAAACATAACCTCAACCTTAGAGCCCTCTCCAGCCACAGCTCTCCCTCCTTTCCTCCTTTCCCCTTTCTTTTTTTTTCTTTACCCAGGCAGGAGTGCAGTGGGATGATCTCAGCTCACTGCAACCTCCACCTCTCAGGTTCAAGCAATTCTCATGCCTCAGCCTCTCCAATAGCTGGGACTACAGGCACATGCCACCATGTCCGGCTAATTTTTGGATTTTTAGTAAAAGTGGGTTTTTGCCATGTTGGCCAGGCTGATCTTAAACTCCTGGCCTCAAGTGATCTGCCCACCCCAGCCTGCCAAAGTGCTGGGATTATAGGCATAAGCCACTGTGTCCAGCCCTCATTGCAAACTTTTTTTTTTTTTGAGACAGAGTTTCACTCTTGTTGCCCAGACTGGAATGCAATGGTGTGATCTCGGCTCACCATAACCTCCGCCTCCTGGGTTCAAGTGATTCTCCTGCCTCAGCCTCCCAAGTTAGCTGGGATTATAGGCATGCGCCACCACGCCCAGCTAATTTTGTATTTTTAGTAGAGACAGGGTTTCTTTATGTTGGTCAGGCTGGTCTCAAACTCCCAACCTCAGGTGATCCACCCTCCTCAGCCTCCCAAAGTGTTGGGATTACAGGTGTGAGCCACGGCACCTGGCCACAAACTTTTCTAACGTCTTCTACATTTAAATTTGCCCTCACTTCTCATTCTATATTAGGCAAAATTCTTTTTTTTTCTTTGAGACAGTCTCACGCTGTCGCCCAGGCTGGAGTGCAGCAGCATTATCTCGGCTTACTGCAACCTCCACCTCCTGGATTCAAGCGATTTTCCTACCTTAGCCTCCTGAGTAGCTGGAATTACATGTGCGCACTACCATGTCTGGCTAATTTTTGTATTTTTAGTGGAGACAGGTTCTTACAATGTTGTCCAAGCTGGTCTCGAACTCCTGACCTCAAATGGTCCACCCACCTCGGCCTCCCAAAGTGCTGGGATTATAGGCGTGAGCCACTGTGCCTGGCTTAGATTAGGCAGAATTCTTTATGACAGAAACACAACTCAAAATTGTCTTAAGGGAAAAAAGAAATAGAATTTATTTGTTCACAGAGCTGAAAAGTACAGAAGTAGATCTTTCACTTCAAGCATGGCTGAATCCAGGTCCTCAATGATACCAATAGGACGTTGTCTTTCTCACTCTCTGCGTTCCTCCATGTTGACCTCATTCTCATTCTCAATCTCTCCTCTTGATGACAAGATGACCACAAGAAGCTCCAAGCTTACACTTTGCCTGCTTGTCAGCTCCAGCAGAAAGAGTAACTCTTTCTCTAAGATTCTAGTAACAGTCCTGGAATTGAGTCTCATGAGCCTAGTTTGACTCACTTGTCCATTCCCAAACCAATCATTTGGGCAGGGAATGGGATGTTCTAATTGGCCAGGCCTGGGTCACCTGGGGGTGGTCTGCTCAGTCTAGACCATAAAACTGAAAATGAGGAAGAATGGTTCCCCAAAGGAATGTTGGAGTGCTGGTATCAGAACAAAGGGAATTGGATGTAGGCAGACAGAACCAACAGATGTCCACTATGCTTCCACCCCTCAACCTAGTGCAAACTGATTTCCACTCCTAGCATTCACTGATATGTCTCACCAAGGTGACCAGGGAACTTGATGGCCAAGAGCATCTGCTCAGCTCTCATTCTTCACCTTTCTGCTAGTCACTCCTTCCTTCTGCAAACTCTCCTTGACTTCCATCACCCAGCTCTAACTGAACTCTCCCCAATCTCTCTGACCCACCCCTCTACTTCCTTCGCATATAGCCATCCTCCAAGATTTAGGCCTCAGTCCTTCCCTCTCTAGTCTCCATCTGTGGTCCCACTCTCTCCTGTACACACTTCTGTTGGGAGTCGAAAAGGCCAAAGGGATCATGGCCAACTCAGCATTCCACTGGAGGCTATATGATCAAACAGCAAACTGTTTATCATGAATGTAGGATGCACCTGCCACCAAAAGGTTTGCTGATGGACATCACTCCCTGGTGCACGGCTCCTTGAAGTTATCTAAGAAATATAGCACTTATTGTTCAAATGATGCAGTCTCGCAAGCCTGCTGTGAACCAAACCTCCGACTGACAATTACCCGACAATCACCCCCGCTTTCTCACTATCTCTTTTGCCTAATAAATACGAAGGGCTATGTAAAGCTTAGGGCCCTTGTCCACTAGAGGCAAAGTGCCCTGACCCCTTCTTCCAAATATACTCTTTTGTCTCTTGTCTTTTATTCCTGTTGCCCACCCCACTTTGTTCAGTCCACCAGGGATCATGGCAGGTTATACACTTCTAGTTTCTGGACATTTCCTAAATCTTCTGTCTCCTGGCAATCACCTGAGCTCCCCTAAAGCCCTCAAACTAATGGTTCTGGCAATTTCACAGATTCTTGATTTATGACCCCATCCTTTCCCCTTGCCTTTTTCCCAGCCCCTACCTCTGGTCGGTCACCAAGTTAGCCACTTCCCTATTGGGACCTGCTTTACCATTAATGCTCCCCACTCAGTTCCATACCTCTGCCCCGCCCAGACCTTCATCATGTCACTCCTGACATCTCTGCCCACAGCCTCTGCCCCATCCATCCTGCACCCAGGGACCCAATTAACCTCATAAGAAGCAGTTGATCAAAACATTCCTTTATCTGAAAACTTCCACGGTTCCTTATTGCCATTAAGACTCCTTAACATGGACTGCTTTCAGGGCTCCGGAATCTGTCCCCAGATTTACCTTCAATTATTTATCTTGCTGAGCCCTTCAGACTCCAACTAATTTACTCACTGTCCCCAAAACATGCCAAACATTTTCCCACCTCTGAACTTTTACATGACACTAACATTAGACCCTCATTATTGACTTCTAAATTTTACCCATATTTCAAAACTGAGCTCCAAGCCACCTCTGTGAAATCATCTGTAAATACATCAGCTATTCCTCCAATTCTGAGTGTATACATGTTTGTTGCTTTTGCATAATATGTAATGCCTCCTCTAGCAAGGGAATCACAGGAGAGCTTCTCCCAAAGTCATGCATTTCCCCAGAAAGAATGCTGTCTGTTCCAGAGCTACTACTGTTGTGAGCAACTAAAAGTTGTCTTCCTTGGGCTCTCTCACAGTAGTCCCTGCCCCTCTCTTCCTCATGAGACTATGTCAAGGCTAATGTGAAAATACTTCATGCACTGTTGAAAATGTATGTTAGGGATGAGCACAAAACAACAGACAGGGGAAACAGAATCAATTGCAGACCCTAACATTTTAACTTTCTTAAATGTTTTTCTTCAATACTTTCCTATAGCTCGTACTTTAAATGACTTTAAAATTATGCTTTAAGTAAACATAGGCTTTAAATAGTTTTTATTTGCTTCATTTTTCCTTCATAACTATCCCTTTTTTTTGTCATCAAAGATATGTGCGTTTTTTTAAAAAAAAAAAACTTTCTTGTCCCCTGCTATCTCTGGAAGCTTCTTGTTGACCTCTGGCTGGTTTTTTGGTTTCTTTTTTTGGCTTTTCATTTCTTAGGGGGGGGGTGGTGGTGGTGAAGGAGGTCTTCTGGTGGCCCCTGCATCAGCGCACCCCCTCAACATGAGCATGATTAACTGGAATCACTGTTATTTCTACGGTGTAGACAAAAATCAGCCATGTAGCTATTAACATCTCCCCGATTTAAAAAGAAACACTGAACTTTCTTTTTCCTGCTGTCCTTAGCGAGGAAAGGTGTAAACACAAGAGACTGTAGCTAGTATCTTGGAAGTCCCCAGGAGACAGGCATTTCCTCTTGGTCACCGACTCCCTGGGTGACTGACGCCCCTTGAACAGCAGGGCCACCGTGTTTCCCTTTGAAGCAAGTGATCCTTAAGGAATTTTCCAGGTTTAGTAACTTCTGTCTAGCTCTGAAAAGACGTAATGGCTGCAAAAGTGCTTCGTTGAAGAAAATAAGATATATTCATTTTTAAATAAAAATACTTAAGGGCGAGAAAAATCGGAGTGGACTGAATCAATTACAGTAAATCTGTGGGCTCTAAGGGAGCAAATAATCCAGGCTGGCTGAAAGAGTTAAATATTTTAAATTTATAAAGCCAGGGCAAACACATAAAAGGATTCAATCTTCTTCTTCTTCTTCTTCTTTTTTTAAGGATTCAATCTTCTAACAATCCCGGGAGGGGGGCAAGAGCAGGATTCTTGTTTCCATTTTAAGAATGAGGAAACTGAGGTTCAGAAAGCCTAAGTGGCATGCCTCTTTAGTAATCGGCCAATCGTCGCCGCCTAACTTCACCTCACCTCCCAGTACAGCACTAGAGTCCCCTCAGGGGTGGCCGTCCCTGGTCAGTCCAGCTCCAGCAGGCCGGGACGGTAGGACGTTCCCTGTCAGGCAGCACTTCCGCCTCCCGGGGCCCGTGCAGCTCACCTCCTTCACCTCCCGCGCTACCCCAGTCACGAGTTGTTTTCGGGGGCCCGCCCCTCCACTTGCTGATTGGGTAGCTCCTGAACCATTGCTGTCCTCTGATTGGTTGTTCCTTTTTTGGCTCTCCAACACCGCCTACACCGACCGGATACACTGGTAGGGCTTCCGCTTCCCCCTTCTCCCTCCTCCCGCTTGTCCTCCTCTCCAAGTCGGCACCACAGCGGTGGCTGCCGGGTGTGGTGTTGGTGGGTCGGTTGGTTTTTCTCTCACCGTTGGTGTCCGTGCCGTTGAATTGCCCGCCATGGCTGAGCTGGATCCATTCGGCGCCCCTGCTGGCGCCCCTGGCGGTCCCGCGCTGGGGAACGGAGTGGCCGGCGCCGGCGAAGAAGACCCGGCCGCGGCCTTCTTGGCGCAGCAGGAGAGCGAAATTGCGGGCATCGAGAACGACGAGGCCTTCGCCATCCTGGACGGCGGCGCCCCCGGGCCCCAGCCGCACGGCGAGCCGCCGGGGGGTCCGGGTGAGAGTGCGGTCGCGTTTGGGGCGAGAGGACTTGTCTGGAAACTCGGCCCACAGTGGGTCCGAGAGGTTCTGTGTGACTTGTGCTCCTTGCTGAATTAGGAGGTTAGGGAGCAGTGCAAAGAGGAAACGAGACCCTGGCCCAGTCATGCAGAAACCTAGGCTTGAGAAGCTTGCTCGGTTCTCAGCGTGTTTGAGTGCTTCTGGGCGCGGGCGGAGCGAGAAAGCAAGTATAGGGTGGCAGGCTTCGGAACCGGAAGAAGCCCGTTCAATTCAGCAACTTTTCATTAAGCACTTGCTGTGCCTTTAGTCCGGTCTCTGAAGCAACCGCATTGGCGCAGTTTTTCCAGACTTATAAGCAAGTCTGAGCCGAGCACAGAACTCCAGTTATTAGAAAAGGAGGGCAGAAAAAAAATAAGAATGGAAATACTGTTTTTTGAGAGATACAAACAAAAGTAGCAATGCAGTTCAGCATTTAAGCACTTAAGGTGTACAGAGTGTTGGATTACGAGGAGGAAGGAGTGAGTAGGGAACTCAGGAAAGATGGTCTAGGTCTGGAGAAAGAACTGCCAAGCGGGATAGGAGTTTACCATGGTTGAGCGATTGATTTACAGCTAGGACTTATGGAGCTCTCCCTCTGGGAACAGCTTTGGTAGGCAATATTGCCTAAGTAGAACCCACGATTAGCCTAAACCAATCAGGAAGGGATGAAGAGGTGAATAGAGAATGTTCTCAGCCAAACTCAAGTAAAAATGGGGCAGGTAGGATGGCAGTTTGACTTTTGGATGCTTACCTGTGTGTGATGCTTAGGATCATGAGTGGAAAAGACCTATTTAATAATACAGAGAAGTAGGAAATTCAGCCAGAAGAAATGAAATATGGCTTTTCATTCACTTAAAAATTTCCAGCTAAGGGAGAATAGTGCACTATTGGGGCATATAGGAGTAGTGTACACTAATCTGATTTCAAACCTTAAGGGGCCAAGTAGGTAACATATACGAGAGAAGCTGACTTGACATGAGACAGTGGAAGTGTTGGAGACTGGGACTTTGGTGCACTATAGTAGTGCTCTGTGTAAAGGCATTCAGACCCAGCAATCTCAAGTTACTATGCCAGCCAGGCAGAACCTTTCGATGGATGGATTGGGGAGGGTGCTGCTAGTTTGCAGCCTCTGAGTTTTTGACTGCACCATGTTGCTTCCTAAGCAAATCAGTCCCCTAATAAGAACTTAGTGGGAACATGTAATATGCCCGAATATGCTACTTTATAGCAAGTAGGTTGGACTGAACTGGGCTGTGATTGCGAGATGAAGTTGGCCTTAAGTGATTAGGAGATATTTTCATTGGGTGGTCTCTAACATTTGTCTGAGAATTTTAAAATTGACTTCTTAGATCCTTAGTTTACCTTCCTCGTTTAGTAGAAGAGAAACAATTCTAGAGAGAAATAACTTGCTTTAAAAAGCACGAGTTAATAGATGAGCCCCAAGTCTACCACATTCTGTTGTAGTGTTTAGTTGTTTTAGCCGGGGTGTGGTGCGGTAAGAGACAGGCAGTTGTGGCTGTCCCAGGTAGAACAGATTTGGGAGAAGCAGGACCCAAGATCTATAGTTGGAAGATTGTCCTGATTCAAGGACAGTGTTACCCTTACTGTTTTATCTCCACTACCTAGCAGTGTGTCTGACATGTAGTAGATGCTCACGTTTGACAGAGAAATGGGCAAAAATGTCAGATCCAAGGGTCCTGTGTAGAACTGACAGATCTTGGTGACAGGCAGTTAGGGAAAGTAAAAGGAAGAGAATAGAGTTGGATACTTGGGTCCTTTGTGCATCAAGCCTTCAGCAAAGGGAAGGAAAGAAATGGTTGCTGACTTAGTTCCTAGGAAGGACTTTCTTAGTGAACTAAGCATTTGGTGACTTAAAGCCAGATTCCTGACAGTGTAATTGAGGTTGGTAATATGCAGTGGTCAGCATTTCCTTTGGGGATTAGAGAACTGATGGGACACTTTTTCTCTCTTAGTTTTCTTTTTCCTTCTTTCTTTTTTTTTAGGATATGCTCCAGTGGTTAAGATTCTATGCTATCCTAAACTGCTTGAGTGTGAGTTTAGCTTTGTGATCTCAAAGTATATAACTACCACCACTGCCCAGCCTCAGTTTTCTCCTTTGTAAAAGTTGCATAATATAATTTATAATGCTATGTGGCATCTTTAGGATTACATTAAAGAGTGTCTATAAAGTGCTTACAGTTATATAGTAAGTATCCAGTGAATTCCAGCTACTGTTAGTGGGAGAAAGGAGTTACAAGGCCTTTAGGCTTTGAAGTGTACTGAGTAAATTGAGAGGTTTTAGACGGGAGCTCTCTTTCTGATGTATTATACAGAGGTATATAGGCAGTCAGCTATGACAGATTGATGAGAGGAAACTAAACTGGCCCCCAGCCTTGCGGAATGCTCCTATGGAGGATGGGCACAGGCAAAAACCAGAGAGGTTAGGGCTGAGCCTTGGATGACTCCCTTGGTTGTTAAGAGATCCAGAAAAAGAGACATAGGTTTAGAGGCAGGAAGTAACCAGCTGGGTGAAGTGATATTGAGGTAACCAGCTGGGGGGGGGGGATATTGAGGAAGAACAGGTGGTCTTGAAGGAGGCAGCACAAGTAGAGCTGTTGAAAAGCTCTCAATCATGAGGGCTGAGTGGGGGAAGAGAACAGGAGAGACAGGCCACAGAGTACTGCAATGAGGCACTATTACGGTGTTTTGTTGATTTGAGACAGAGCCTCGCTCTGTCGCCCAGGCTGGAGTGCAGTGGCGTGATCTTGGTTTACTGCAACCTCTGCCTCCTGGGTTCAAGCAGTTCTCCTGCCTCAGCCTCCCAAGTAGCTGGGATTACAGGCGTGTACCACCATGTTCAGCTAATTTTTGTATTTTTCTTAGAGACAGGGTTTCACCATGTTGGCCAGGCTGGTCTCGAACTCCTGACCTCAAGTGATCTTCCTGACTCGGCCTCCCAAAGTGTTAGGATTACAGGCGTGAGCCACTGTGCCCGGCCTATTTGTTATGTTTTTGACAAATTACTTCTTTCTTTTTGGGTGGGGAGGCGGGGGCAGATGGAGTTTTGCTCTTATTGCCCAGGCTGGAGTGCAATGGCACAATCTCGGTTCATAGCAACCTCTGCCTTCTGGGTTCAAGTGATTCTCCTGCCTCAACCTCCCGAGTAGCTGGGATTACAGGAACCCACCACCATGCCCAGCTAACTTTTTGTGTTTTTAGTAGAGATGGGGTTTCACCATGTTGGCCAGACTGGTCTTAAACTCCTGACCTTAGGTGATCCACCCGCCTCAGCCTCCCAAAGTGCTGGAATTACAGGCGTGAGCCACTGCACCTGGTGACAAGTTAGTTCTTGTAGGAGAAAAAAGAGACACAGGTGAATTAAAGTGAAGCTTTCTGGAGAAGTAATTTTATTGGTAGCAGTGGTGGAGAGAAGTTTAGGGAAATCTCATGAGTGATAGTTAATTATACTGCACATTTGCCGTATACCGGTACACTTTCAGATACCGGCAGTAGCTCCACGGGTTAAGTGGTAGTGTCATATTTCAGATGAGAATGGATCAGTGTGGAAGTTGAGCAGTGTCCCTAAGGTAGCAAGGTAATAAATGGCTCAAGTGCAGCTTCAAACCTAGGTCTGCTTGACTTCAAAGGTTTCTGGAATGTGGAAAGTTGAAGGTGGTTTTGGGACAGTGTTTCACTTTGAAAACTTTGGCCCTTTTTCTGTCTGGAGTTCCTGAAAGGCCCTAGAAAGTTTCCTTCTGAAGCATCGTGTTGCTTAGTTTAGTTATCCTAGTAAGTCAAGGCCCTACATGTCCTTTCTGCATGTTTCCACAGCAACAGACGATCCCTTGGCTTGAGCCAGTTGTTGATTCTTGTAAGAATGTTAGTGCAGTAATACAGTAACTAATAAAGAGGAAAGCAGATGCCAGTGGGTCTGGAGGAGTCTTCAGACAGACAGCATGTGATTTTTTAAGGAGACGTGGGATGAGGATTGCTTCTTGTTTTGCATATGGAGTAGTGATCAAAGTCTCTCATATTCCAGCCCAGGGCTGGACTATATTAGTGGATAGTTGGTATGTCAGCTGTACTATATTAACCATAATGTAGCCCTGGCCAGACTAGCCATTGTAGGATCTAGGATTTAAAACTATCTCACTCTTATGTCTTCACAAAAATAAATTCCAGGTGGATTAAAGAGAGACATTTAAAAAATAAAAGAACAAAAGTGAATATTTGTCTACCTCATAATAGGAAAGGCCTTCAGCATAAAAGCAGACACAGAAATCATAAAGAAAAAGTTGATCATGTCTACATACACAAATTAAGTTGTTCCGGGTGTTAAATTCCATAAACCAAATCAAAAGAGAAACTAGGGAAAATACTTGACTATTAATACAGAGCAAATACTTAGAGATCAAAAAATAGCAGGAAAATAGGCAAACTCAGAAAATTCAGTAAAGAAGAAAATCAGATGTTGGGTATGTGATTACCTTACTGGAAATAAGATTGGCACAACAAAGCCACCATGAGTTTTTTTTCCGTTATCAAATTAGCAAAAATTTTAAAACATGATCAAGCACAGTCGCTAGTATCAGGGAAGGTCTAAGAAATGGGGCACTTCTGCTGCCAGTAGTACTATAAACTGGTAGACTAATAGGAACAAGTGGGTAGGGTTTTAGAAGTCTTTAAAATACGTATCCTGAGTGGGGTGTGGTGGCTCACGCCTGAAATCCCAGCACTTTGAGAGGCCGAGGTGGGGAAATCACCTGAGGTCAGGAGTTCGAGATCGGCCTGACCAACATAGTGAAACCTTGTCTCTACTAAAAAATGGAAAAATTAGTCAGGCATGGTGGCATGAGCCTGTAATCGCAGCTATTCGGGAGGCTGAGGCAGGAGAATCGCTTGAACTTGGGAGGTGGAGGTTGCATTGAGCCGAGATCGCGCCACTGCACTCTAGCCTGGGCAACAGAGCGAGACTCTGTCCAAAATAAAATGAAATAATAAAATAAAATAAAATAAAAAATATAAAATAAAATATAAAATAAGTAAAATAAAATAAATAAAATCCTGGCTGGGCGCGGTGGCTCATGTCTGTAATCCCAGCACTTTGGGAGGCTGAGGCAGGTGGATCGTCAGAGGTCAGGAGTTCGAGACCATCTGGCCAACGTGGTGAAACCCTGTCTCTACTAAAACTACCAAAAAAAAAAAAAAAATTAGCCGGGCATGATAGCTCACACCTATAGTCCCAGCTTCTCAGGAAGCTGAGGCAGGAGAATCACTTAAACAATCCAGGAGGCGGAGGTTGCAGTGAGCCGAGATGGCACCACTGCACTCCAGCCTGGGCAACAGAGCAAGACTCTGTCTCAGAAAAAATAAAATACATATCCTGTGATCCAGCAATTCCTTTTTTCCTTTTTTTCTTCTTCTTCGTCTTTTTTGTTTGTTTTTGTTTTTTGATTTTTTGAGATGGAGTCTCGCTCTGTTGCTCAGGCTGGAGTGCAGTGGCGCGACCTTGGCTCACTACAACCTCTGCCTCCCGGGTTCAAGCTATTCTCCTCCTTCAGCCTCCTGAGTAGCTGGGATTATGGGCTAATTTTTGTATTTTTAGTATACAGAGGTGTGTTTCACCATGTTGGCCAGGCAGGTCTCTCCTGACCTTGAGTGATCCTCCCGCCTCAGCCTCCCAAAGTGCTGGGATTACAGGCATGAGCCACCGCGCCCGGCTGTAACCCAGCAATTCTACACCAAGGGATTTATTACGGAGGTGAAATTGAATATGCTTCCCCCATACTTTCACTAGTTTGATAAACTTCATATTTCCCAAACTTTATAGAATGCTTTAAAAACTATATAGGTAGGTGGCACATGGCTTAAAGTAGTAAAAGGCCACTGACATAATGAACTACAAGAAACTCATTTTTGTACTGACATATAGGAGTAAAAGTCAACTAGGAAAATTAAGAAAAATGTGAGAGGCCAGGCATGGTGGCTCATGCCTGTAATCCTACAATTTGGGAGACCGAGGTGGGTGGATCGCTTGAGTCCAGGAATTCGAGAGCAGCCTGGGCAGCATGGCGAAATCCCCTCCTTACAAAACATAGAAAAATTAGCCAGGCATGGTGGCGCATGCCTGTAATCCCAGCTCCTGTGGGGACTGAGGTGGGAGGATTGCTTGAGCCCAAAAAAGGTCGAGACTACAGTAAGCCATGATTGGGCCACTGTGCTCCAGCCTGGGCGACAGAGCAAGACTATCTCAAAGATGAAGCTGCAGGTCTCTGCTCACTATGGGTGATTCCAGGCCACACTTTTTTTTTCTTCTGCAGAACTTTCATAGAGAAACACTGTTCTCTGAGACTCTTCTGCCAGTCTTCCATTTGTTACCACTGTAAAATAGAAAACAGAAAACAAAATCAAAAGGTTTTGGACTTGGGAGCTTGAGGACAGATGTGTCCACATTTTGGTGAAGTTTGTATATAAGCACATCTTGGTTTTATTATTTTGTTGTATATAGCACCTACCACAGGAATAGCATTTAGTAGCTCAAGGTTCATACAGCATATAATGCTGTATTCTGCTGTACAACCCTTTGGCCCAGTGTTTGACCAGTCTTTATTGATAGACCAAAACCTTATGTCTTGCAGATGCTGTTGATGGAGTAATGAATGGTGAATACTACCAGGTACAGAGTACTCTGATTCTATTCATTGATAGTGATTGAGAGTTTTCTTTTCCTGTGATTTTAATTGACCTAGAAAGAAACCCCAGTCCTTTGACTTTCCTGGATGTATTACTGGCTGGTATGTTATCTACCAAAGTGGAAAGATTTAAAGAGAGGTAGCATTGATAAAAAGAGAACTGTTTTAAAATGTTATTTACCTGCCCCTAGTGTTACCACCTTTATTCTAAAGAAACTACTCTTCAAATGACACTGTGTTAAGTGCAGTAAGTTAGTACTAATACTTTAAATAGTTCTTCTTCCATCTTTGTGTATAGACTGATTAGGTTAACCTGGTAATGTTCCTTAGTTCAATGAGTGGCACATGGAATAGTTCTGTAAAGGTTAACATTTATTTGAGTCTTTTTTTTTTTTTTTTTTGAGACAGTCTCTGTTGCCCAGGCTGGAGTGCAGTGCAGTGGCACGATCTCATCTCATTTGCAACTTCCAGCTCCTGGGTTCAAGCGATTCATCCGCCTCAGCCTCCTGAGTAGCTAGAATTACAGGTGCACGCCAGCACGCCTGGCTAATTTTTTGTATTTTTAGTAGAGATGGGGTTTCACCATGTTGGCCAGGCTGGTCTTAAACTCCTAGGCTGAAGTGATCCGCCCACCTCGGCCTCCCAAAGTGTTGGGATTACAGGCGTGAGCCACTGCACCTGTTCTATGTGGTTGCCTTTTTTTGGGGGGGGGGGTTGAGGGGTGGGACAGGGTCTCACTCTGTCACCCAAACTGGAGTGCAGTGGTGTAGTCTTGGCTCACTGCAACCTCCATTCCCCAGGTTCTAGCAAATTCTCCTCCTGCCTCAGCCTCCCCAGTAGCTGGGATTACAGGCACACGCCACTACCACCTGGTTCATTTTGTATTTTTAGTAGAGACGGGTTTCACTATGTTGGCCAGGCTGGTCTCGAACTCCTGACCTCAAATGATCCACCCACCCCAGCCTCCCAAAGTGCTGGAATTCCAGGCGTGAGCCACCGTGCCTGGCCTATGTTGTTGCTTTTAAGGTAATCCTTTAACATTTTACAGCAGCCACCATTGTTGTTAGAAACAGGGGTTCTGACTGGTTGCTTGTGGTGGCTCTGGCCGGGTGTGGTGGCTCACGCCTGTAATCCCAGCACTTTGGGAGGCCAAGGTGGGCAGATAACCTGAGGTTAGGAGTTCGAGACCAGCCTGGCCAACGTGATGAAACCCCATCTCTACTAAAAATACAAAAATAAGCTGTGCGTGGTGACGGGTGCCTGTAATCTCAGCTATTTGGGAGGAGGTGGAGGCAGGAGAATTGCTTGAACCTGGGAGGCGGAGGTTGCAATGAGCCAAGATAGTGCCACTGCACTGCACTCCAACTTGGGCGACAAGAGTGAAAACTCCGTCTCAAAAAAAAAAAAAAAGAAGAACCAGGGATTCTAACTCAGGTGAAGTGCATTCTAGGAAGGAATTTTTGGTATTAATATAGGACAATTGTGTTTTGTGTTAAGGAAAGTAATGGTCCAACAGACAGTTACGCAGCTATTTCACAAGTGGATCGATTGCAGTCAGAGCCTGAAAGTATCCGTAAATGGAGAGAAGAGCAAATGGAACGCTTGGAAGCCCTTGGTAAGGAATCCCTTTCTGTCTTTGGGTATCTGTTTTCAGTGGAGTAGTTGACCTGGACTCTACTTTTATTCCTTTTTACTTCAGATTAACCGGTGTCATTGTCTGATCTTTGGGAAGATATCTTCTCAGCCTGAAGGTTACAAAGCTACCTGCCCAGAGATGCCTAATCATAGGCCATTGTGTGAGGAGTAGAGTAGCCGGAGAGCCCCAAGATCCTCTCACAGGAAGAGCATAGTGATGCTATTACTGACCTCAAGAGTAGCCTCAGGTGGTGTTTATAGGGTGCTGTGTAAACTTGAAAGATTCAAGTTTCACATGTCCATGGACTTTCACAGTCCGTTTTTCTTTTTTTTTTTTTTGAGACGGAGTCTCATTCTGTCACCCAGGCTGGAGTGCAGTGGTGCGATCTCCGCTCACTGCAAGCTCCACCTCCCGGGTTCACACCATTCTCCTGCCTCAGCCTCCCAAGTAGCTGGGACTACAGGCGCCCGCCACCATGCCTGGCTATTTTTTTTTTTTGTATTTTTAGTAGAGATGGGGTTTCATCACGTTGGCCAGGCTGGTCTCGATCTCCGACCTTATGATCCGCCCACCTCTGCCTCCCAAAGTGCTGGGATTATAGGTGTGAGCCACTGCACCCGGCCTCCATTTTTCATTTGAAGGCTGAATTAATTTAAGGTAACGAGGAAAATGAGGTATGTTAGGAAAAATGTACAATTTGTTTTTCCTACCTTAATATCTCTGTAAGGTAAGTTTTACAGGTAAGAAAAGCGGAGGAGAGGTAGAATAAGTATTTGGAATACTCAGCTAAGAAATGGTAAGAGTCACAATTTCAGCTGAAGTCTGCCTTGCTTCAAAGTCACTACGCATCCCCATCAGCCACATTGCTTTCTAAACATTTAGTGCGCATGACCATCTAGCCACACGGCCTGGCGTTTGATAAAGAGATGTGTACACAGAGTGTCACCTGTTGGTTCATGATCAGGGGAGACTTGTGTCTATACATGGTGGATTGGAGAAGTATGCAGAGTGTGAGGACATAATCCACATTGTGGCCTTTTGTTTTTTCTTTTTTTAATCAGCTGACTTTAAGATTCATCTTTTCTCAACTTTACAGAACAACTGAAAGAAGAGGAAAATAAATGTGTGCACCCCCAGAATCAGTAATTAATATTTCACCATATTGGGTTATCTTTATATAAATGATATGTTTTAGACATATACACACATACACAAATTGTTCTGACTGACCTACTTTAAGATAAAGACATCATATACTTCATGTCTAAATATTTCAATGTACACCTCCTAGAAATAATGACATTCTCCTATGTAACCACAGTGTCAGCAGTATTATTCCCTCTTGGGAACTGTTAAACTGGTGAAAACATGAGTCCTTATTTTTCAGATGGGATAACTGACACCCAGAAATAGGAAGGGACATGACCCAGATGACACAGCCAATTAATGCCAGATCATTTATCTCTCTAGTCCTTTTATCTCTCTAGTGCAATTTAGGTGACTTTCAGAACAAAGAACACACTTAATATTTGAACCTTTATAGCACCATTCAGTAGTAATTTCTTTGGTGGAAATATTCTTTATGTGTACTGTCTAGTATGGTAGCCACTAACCACATGTAACTGTTAGTACTTGAAGTGTGGCTTCACATTTCAAGTGTGACTGAGAAACTGAATTTTAAATTTTCTTTAATTTTAATAAATTTGCATTGAAGTAGCCACATGTAGCTAGTAGCTACCATATTGGACAGTGGAGCTGTAGGAAGATGAAAATAGGTCCTAACAGCTTTGGTCGTTGTTTGTTCTTTGTGTCTTTTGAGTATGCTTAGAGCCAAGATTTAGCTGGTCTTAGTACTGCTGGAGTATCTTTCATGTTACAGAACCCAGCACCCAAATTTACAGAACCCAAACCACTCCAAGTTGGAGTGCAGTGCAGTGGCACGATCTTGGCTCATAGTTTCCCCAAGCTCTAGCAGTTTTTCTTCTCCATGGAGAGAGTCTACTTTGGCGTCTGGAAAGATTTAATTTTTCAATTATGAAATTGGGTACTTGGGGAATACTCTTATGAACTGTTTTCTTAATTCAAAGTGCTTTTTTGAGAGAAGTAAAACATTTGGCCTTGCATTCCAACTGAATTGTATTCACTTGGTTCATGAACAAGGTGTTCCTTCAATTTCACCTTTTTTCCTTGCAAAAACTGTGAGAAAGCACACGATGCCAAAAATAGAGAACTGGTGCCAGTGGTTTTCAGCCTAGCTGCTGGCTACATTCTCAAGTAATTTTCTTTTCTATGACCAGTAACGAGGGTGGCCAGAATGGAAGGCACCTGTGAGTGTGCTTTGCTGTCTAAGGGGACTCTTCCTCTTCATCCTCTGAGGGGAAGAATTCTAGTATTGCAGTGGCACTAAAGCTCCAAAAGCCAGAAGACCAATTTAAATGTACTGTTTTATACAGTAACCACAGTCTGTTCAGCAGGTCACCATTTTTATTTAATTTTTCAGAGATAAATTTTATATTTTAGACCTAATGTATATAAATTTTAAGTGAACATCAAAATACATAGAAAATACTGTCCAATCAAAAAGGTAATTATTTGGAAGTAATTTCACCACGATTGAAAAGGGGGCCTTACATTTTAAATTAGGTATTGCCACATGGCACTTCCAGCCCACGGCTTCTCATTGCAGCATAACATCTTCCATTCCACACCCATGCTTCATGCCATGATAGACACATGTTAGACGTTTACTGTAGAGCTGGGTGGGGTGGCTCAGGTCTGTAATCCCAGCACTTTAGGAGGCTGAGGTGGGAGGATCACTTGAGCTCAGGAGTTCAAGACCAGCCTGGGCACCATAGTGAGACCCTATCTGTAATAAAAAAAAAAAAAAAAAGGAAAAAAAAATAGCTGAGGTTGGTGGTGCACACCTGTGGTCCCAGCTGCTTAGGAGATTGAGGTGGGAAGATCACTTGAGCCTGAGAGATTGAGGCTGCAGTGAGCTGTGATAGCACCACTGTACTACAGCCTGGGCTACAGAGCAAGAGACCCTATCTCAAAACCAAAAAAAGTTTACTATGTATACTTTACAGTCATCAGTGAAAAATCTGAGAAAATGATTCTTCTGAATGATAGATGACCTTCCGACAAATTAGATACCAAGATGAATGTTCTTTCTAACCTGAAACTTGGGGGAGTTTCTAGCTGCTATTAGGCTTTTTCTTATGGTTACACACAGCCTTTTGCATGTTGTTACTGTAAGACCTTTCTTGCAAAGGCCCTAAAAATGCCCAAGAATGCTTCATTTTTCATCCCTTCTAGTAGTTACTTGACGCCACTACTGCTTTCTACTGTCCTTCTCAAATACACTAATTACAGTTTGGGCTCTTGCTCTGCACTTTCAAAACTCTGTCCAGATCACTGGTGGCCACTTTCTAGTCACATTTTGTGATTATTTCTAGGCTTGCCTCCCTTTCTGTCCCTCCCTTTGGAGGAAGCATAATGAGGTAAGCAAAGTGTAAGCTTTAGAGCCAGATCTGGGTTTGAATCTTGGATCTGTCACTTACTATAACCTTTAGGAAGTTCACTCAAACTTTCTGAGCTTTAGTTTTCCTCACTGCTGTAAATGGGATCAGAATTTACCTTCTTGGGATTGTTGTAAAGATTGAGTTAGATGTCTGTAAAACACCTGCCAGATAGACTATCCAGAAGAACTTGTTTAAAGTGAAGTATCAGGTTAACTTAAAGTGTCAGCTGCCTCAGTAGCTATGACATGTTGACATGTATTTCTTTTTTTTTGTTTTTTTTGTTTTTTTTGTTTTTGTTTTTTGAGATGGAGTCTCGCTTTGTTCCCTAAGCTGGAGTGCAGTAGTGCGATCTCAGCTCACTGCGACCTCTGCCTTCCAGATTCAAGCGATTCTCCTGCCTCAGCCTCCCCAGTAGCTAGGATTATAGGCACATGCCACCACATCCAGCTAATTTTTTGTATTTTTAGTAGAGACAGGATTTCACCATGTTGGCCAGGCTGGTCTCGAACTCTTGACCTCAGATGATCCACCTGCCTCGGCCTCCCAAAGTGTTGGGATTACAGGTGTGAGCCACCACGACCAGCTGGCATGTATTTCTTTATCTCTCACCATTTACTGATGTATGTCTCTTTCCCTTGTGGGAAAACCATATTTAGTCCTCAGAAACTTCATGTTTCATGTTTGAGAATCCAATCTAGCAAACCTGCTAGGTGTGCATTTTCTTGCTCTCATTTCTAGAACGTTTAGGTTACCTGTTAACAGATCCCATACCTCTACCCCCTGCACTTCTCTCCAGTGGAGTTTCTTTTGTAGCTCTGCCCTGGCTCTGCCACAAACACACTCTGCAAACTAGGAGTAGATGCTTTGTGGTCCTCTCTAGTGCTAATATTCTGTGTTCTAGCATTCTCTGGTTCCTGAATCATCTCTACTTTTGGTAATTGTCCTTAATAGCACCCTGCTTCACAGAAGTGCTTCTACCATATTTAGTTATTAGAGTGCCACCTTGTGTTCCACAAAACCATTGTCAAACCTAGAATGTGGACTAGTTTGGGAGAAGAGTTAAAAGATTTAAGATGAATACCCTACTCTGAACTAAATATTGGCAGCATTGGTGAAGAATCATCTGTAATTGTTTCTCCCCCCGTTGGTGCCCAGATGGCTTTTTTCTTATTATTAATAAAAGTCAGTATTTCCACATACAGCCTCCTCTTTCGCTCTGCCAAAAACAAGACAAAACAAAACTAATGACCCACTAAGATGTCAGTGGACTGGGATAAGACCAGGAATAGGATCCAGGAATAGGACTGTGGAAAGGAATAGAAGTACTGAAATCAGAGTTGGTTGTGCAAACAGGGAAAACAGAAGTTTATTTTCCCCTCCCTCCTCTTCTCCCCCAACATGCACATAAACGTGGACCTGCATCCACTGTAAGTTCATTAAGACCAAAATAAACTGATGAACTTCAGTTTGCACTTTGCCTCAGTTGTATTGTCTTTCTCTTCTCTCCCTTCAAAGATGCCAATTCTCGGAAGCAAGAAGCAGAGTGGAAAGAAAAGGCAATAAAGGAGCTAGAAGAGTGGTATGCAAGACAGGACGAGCAGCTACAGAAAACAAAAGCAAACAACAGGTCAGTCCATGGTGGTTGTAGCACATTTTGTTTTCCAAAATTGAATCAAATCCATTCTCAGCATCCAATCTAGGTTTTTGTCTTCTGCCTCCTTTAGTGTGAAATGTCTACAGTTTTTAAAGAAAGTGCTTGAAACAGGTAGCAAGTCTCTCAGGTTTTGTGAGCATAATTCACCCTATTGTTTAGCCATCCCAGCTGTACTGAGCTTAGCTCTCTGAGAGTTTGGTTAATAAATGATGTGATTCAGCCAAGGGAAAAGTTACTTTTCATGGAACCCTGAAATGAAAGCTGGGTGTCATGAATACACCCAGATCTAGTTACTTTGGATATAATTATAGACTTGGTCCTATTGAGTATCCTAAATATAGCCCTGCCCTCTGAAAACCCCTTCATGAAGGGGTCCATTGGCAGGAAAATGTGCTTTGTAATTAGACAGCCAAGAATGTTCCAGCATAATTACTTTAGAATTGAGGGTTCTTTATCTGTGCCTTAAAAAGTCTTGAATTGACTTATTAAAAATACTGTTTGAAATAGATTTTATTTAGTTACTGATGGTTAAGGAGTTGTGAGGAGAAAAATGCTTTCATTCTCATATCACCACCCACCAGCAGCTGGACTTTAATGCCCTGCACTTTGAGCCCTTCTTGGAAGCAGCAAAGAGAGGATATGTGGTGTTGCTTCCTTCAGGGCAGGCAGCTTCAGAGCCCAACTTTCACCGAATAGTCAGTCCATTCACTTCAGTGTATAAACGGGCCAGAGTGGGCCTGGGGATATTTTTAATTTTCAGGGTAGAGCCTTGGGTTCCTGTACACAGAGGCAGGAAGCAGGTTGGGTTAAGTGCCCTTATCTCTGGCAACTCTGTTAGACAGAGATGTGGCAGGAGAGAGAGCTAATGGCTTTGCCAGCCAGCCAGTGCCATTGTGGGTCAAGTATGACAGATCAGTTGGACTCTCTTTTGTTTACTAGCAGCCCTTCAGCTCATTGAATTCCAGCTTGAGCCTGCGTTCTGGTCACCTTCCTCTGGGGCGGTGTGCTCAAGGAGTGCCTGTCAGGTTCCATGTGGAGTTCTGTGGGACTGCTGTCTGGTGTGCAGGCTAGGTTGCCAGTGGTGATGGCTTCCATCAGCTACGTGGGGCTGTTGTCGAGCCTGTGGTCAGTAGGTGGTGCTGACAGGTCCAGGCTCCTGTGTCCTCTGCTCCTTCAAGATGATTTTCTCCCAGGTGCAAGTTCAGATCAGTAAAGCCAGGTGGGGACTGTGTACGAGCACCCTGTGAGCCCTGGGAACTCCCCTAGCCGGCGGCCCTGGCACTTGAGTTTATTTTGAAGTACTGTAGCCATGCCAACCCTCCCTGCACAGGATCTGTGATGCTTCAGGAACTTGACACGCAAATTTTCAAACTGAGATAATGAATATGTTGGTAACAGCCTTTCTGTTGCAGAAATTTTTTCAAGGAAGTTTTGCTAAACTGTCAAGAAAGGGATACTCTCTGTATACAGAATCCATTGTTCTCAGAGGGAGTAATGACACCTGTTTTTAGGAGCTTAGTCTTAAAAAGTTTAGTCCCTCCAGGCATTGAGTTTGGGCCTTGGTACCTTTCTTTACTTGGAACTGTAAAATGCTGGGTAAGCTGGTCTCACAGATGAACCTCTTAAGTTCCAGAGAGAAAAAGGGACTTTCCCACCACTCACTAAGAATGTAGAGCTGTTTAGGAAGCAGGTCACTTGCCTTGTGGGAACCTTGCAGCACAGGGCTGACCCTGAGAGCATAAAGCTAGTGGCACAGTAGCCATTGTCAGCAGGGCTCTAGGACAGAAGAGATGGCTTTTACACTTTATTCCAGTGATTCTTCACTGGTTGGAGGTGGGAGCCATTTGAGAGTCACTTTGGGGGACTTCTTCCAAGGGTCTACACCCTCCCTTGGAGATTTTTATATTGCTGACTACTCCCCCCTCCATCCATGTTCAACTCTAAACTTGAGTTCAAAGGAATAGGTCCCATTTAGATGTATAAAGTAATTGGTCCTTGTTATCTGTCTATGGGTAAAGAGTGAATATTTTTAGAAAAGAAAATAGAGGCCAGACACCTTGACTCACACCTGTAATCCTAGCACGTTGGGAGGCTGAGGCGGGCAGATCACTTGAGGTCAGGAGTTTGAGACCAGCCTGCCCAACATGGTGAAACCCCATCTCTACTAAAAATACAAAAATTAGCCGGGCGTGGTGGCATGTGCCTGTAATCCCAGCAACTCGGGAGGCTGAGGCAGGAGAATCACTAGAACCCGGGAGGTGAAGGTTACAGAGAGCTGAGATTGCGCCACTGCACTCCAGGCTGGGTGACAGTGAGACTCGGTCTCAAAAAGAAAACGGGGTGCTCATTTCAAGCAAGTATGATTCTCTCTGGGATGTTAAGGGGACCCGAGAGATAAGGCAGAAAGGTGAGAAGTTTGAAAGAGGAAACTCGGAGACGGGAAGGGCATCCAGTTAATTGTGAGAGCATCCTCAGGCCTCCTGCCTTCCAGCTGCCTCACCACTCGGTCACCAAAGCAGTAGGAGCACATCGCGCCTGGTACTGCACTGGGGGTTGGTGTGTGGCCGGCAGACATGGTTCTTGCCCTGCACAATCTGTAGTCTATTGTCAGTCCCCAGACTGCATCTCCCTACTTTTATCCCAAGTTGGGGCCTCAGTGTCATGGCACAAGAGCTGTGAATTATTCAGTGACAGCCATGGAAAAGAATTTCCTTTTCATAGGAGCCAGCCAGAGCAGTGACTGACTCCTGCAGCTGGATGAGTTTGCGCGTCAAGAACAACCCCAGAACATTTACCGTATTACAGGTAGCACTTGTGCTTGTCAGCTGTTTCAAGGCTTGAGAAACTTTGGGGAATGCACAGTTCTCAGAGATGACAAATATTTTTTTCTATGCCCACTTTGAGGCTGTTTATGGAATGAAGTTCTGCATTGTATTCATGCCTCCAGAGCTTGTTCTGGGGCAGGCATTCCTCTTCCCTCCAGTCTCCCGAGCCTCCCTGAGCCTCTTCCTGCCTTGGCTGAGGATTGCTACTTTCAAGTGAAAGACAAACGGAGGGCCACCTGTGTGTGTGTCTGATTTTCTGTTTGTTCTGGGCCTGCAACCCTGACAGGGGATATGCTTGTCACTGAGGAGCTTTGGTCTTGGGCTAGCTGCAAAGGAGCAAGAGCCTGACATTCAAACTTTGTTGTCTTAGTGATGATTTGACAGGAGTCGTGAAACCTCTTCTCTTCTTGTGGAGGGAAACCCAAGTTGAAATCGATCAGGTTTAGCCCTTTGTGTAAACTAAAAGGATTGTGGCTTTACAAGCCAGCCTGCCTTGCCTTTTCCTCCCACTCATTCTGCCCACAAACAACTCTGTTTTCCTGCTGAGTCACTTTAAGTTACAATCAGCCTGCTCTTTTTGCTTTCTTTAAATTCCCACAAAACACCTCCTGTGTGTAAACCAAAATGGGAAAGAAGGAAGGGCATGTGTGAGCTTCAAAATTAACTTAAATTAAAATTACTAGAATTTGCCTTCAGATAAATATGTGAGGTTAGCTTAATGACCAGGCATGGTTATCCTTGAAAAATGTCTTTCCCCTCGCCCACCCCAAATCGACTTGACAAAGGACAGGGTAAGACTCTGTGAGTGAGGTTCCCTACCCAGCCACAGTGGACAAGAGTGAGCTGGCTGAGCCCAGGGAGTCAGTCCAGGGCAACAGTCAAAGCCAGCCTGGCCCCTGCTGTAAAAATTTCTCCACCCAGTCTGCCCCCTCCTTCCTGTCTGAGAGCCCTGCCACATTGAGAGTTAAGAAGGGATGAAGTTCTGGATTCTGGGCTGCGCCTTGTCAAAGCCAATTGAGTCTGGTGTAAAAATATTCAGAAACTGTACCCGCTTCTTGAGCAGAGAGCCATATTCAGAAACAACATAAGCCAGGGCCAGGATCCTAGTCCAGTGTTCTTCCCACCAGACCACTCGCCTCCAGCCGTTTTTTCCTGTAAGGTTGAGATTTTAAAATGACCAAATGTGTTCCAGGATTCTGAAAATGTATCCCACCCAGCCAGTGTGGGGAAGCAGTAGTTGGATAATCCAAGATAAAACTGGCTTTGGGTCCTAGTGCATCTGGTGTCTGGCAGCATTCCTGCCCGGTGATATTTACTGAGATAGGCAGGAAGGTGGCATGGCTTTCTGGGCACACACCAGCAGGGAGAAGCATGGCTATGTAGTAGAAAGAGCCCTGGACTTAGGGCCAGGCTGCCTTGGTTGTGAGTCCTGAATGCTGCCACTGTGGTGTAGCCGAGTAAGTTGTTTCATCTCTAAGCCTCAGTTACCTCATCTGTACAGTGGGAGTGAGAACAGTCAGGGTCATAGGTTGTTAGAGTTAAGGATTGAATCAACATAATGTATGTGAAGAGGCTTAGTCCATAATTGGGTGCTTAATAAATGCCCATGTTGCTGGGGTAAGCCAAAGGAATGAAGTTGGCAGTACTCACCCTGTCGTGGAGCAATCCCCATGTCGGAAGACCAGCGGGAAACCAGTCCTGCTGAAGTCTCCAGCGCTGGAAGCCTCACGGGGGTTAGGAAGGAGCCTTGGGAGCAGCTCCTCAGAGCACAGTTGCACCTCAATTGTGGATTTTAGATGTTTCTGCTTCTCAATGTTCTCTCTTTTTTCCTGCCTGCTTGCCTGCCTTTTGGACCTCTTGCTGTCTAGGGTGGCAGATGAAGCTTTCTACAAACAACCCTTCGCTGACGTGATTGGTTATGTGTATGTTGCAAAACTAATTCCTTTTTCTTGTGATTCTTTCTACTTTTTGTTTAGAGTTAATGCTCCTTTTATGTCACAAGTTGCTTTGCTTTTTAAATTATTTCAAATTGGCATTTTGGGGGCTGCCTAAGAATTGATAAGTGGGGTATGATCCGTTGATGAATCTTCCAGAATTGTGACTCCCTGCATCCTCTGATGACCATTTTTCATATTGGGGGTTTTGGAAGGAAGAAAGCTAACTCACTTTCAAAATGTGTCATTTGCGATCTTATCTGGGAAGGGTTTGAAGCTCGGGGAAACTCGGCCCTGTTGCTCTTGCTGCTGTCACTGCTGCCATGCCCTGTTGCCTGCCTGCCTCAGGTGGGAAGGAGGTTTCCCCACCTGGGAGCAGGTGGCAGTCCTAGGAGGTTAGGAGCCAGTGAGCAGCAGCACCTTGCATTGCCAAAGTCAGAGCTGCGGGGCAGCATTTTCCATACTTGGTTCATTCAAACGATGTGGGGTCATTTGCTTTTCCCTCAGGCAGAAGAGTCCAGAGCAGAGGAGGTTGTCTCCAATGGGTGTCTATAATTGTTCTTCTGTGGTCTCGCATGTCAGAAATTGCTATTTAGTGGTCAGCTTCTGATGTCCTGTCTCCTAGCACAGGGAAGCCCCCAGCTTTGAGATCAGGATAGTTGAAGTGTCTGATATGGGCCACTTGGGCTTCTCCCCCAGACCCCTCAAAAGAAACCTGCATCTTCACTGGAGAAGGTGTTTTTCTTTTTTTAAACGATTCCTGTTATCAAAGCAGTGTTGCTGAAGAGCTAGAAACAGTTCTCATTGTCTCCTCCTCAAAAATTAGGGCTGGCTTTACAAGAGAAGTAAGGGTGGGATGGAAGAGGAGAGGAACCTGTAAAAGGTGGACGATGAGCTCAGGTCTGTAGAGCCTCTCAGGGCCTATGACCTTGAGATGTTCATCCCCTTAGAAGACAGAACTGGGTTTCCTGGGCCCCCAGATGCATTTGCAGTGAGACTTGTGAAATGCTGGACTTACAGGTGGTGTTTGATTTGATTTCTGCACATTCTCTCTGGAGTAGAAATGGAGACTGGAAAGGTCGAGTCTGGTTTTGCTGGGCAGCTGGGTGGCCAGCAAAGCCAGCTGCACGTCCCTAAGCACAGATAGAGTGGCAAGGGCATGTCCAGCTTACTGACCATCTGCATTGAGCTCATTCTCATTTTCTATATCTGACTTAAAGTTTCTCTCGTTTCTTTTCTTCTCTTCACCTTTAAGCACAAACATAAACCATCCTTGCTACAGCCTAGAACAGTTAAGTAAACCTTTCTCACTGCCCCTAACTGTGTGTGCCATGAAGTCGCAGTGTTGTAGTGGCTCTGGGCTTCAGCGGTGTTTGCCACGGCCATCCCTGTGATAGTGCCACCCCTCCGTCCCTACAGACCAGTCATCTCCATTGCTTTTGCTTTGCCCGTGATGCTTGTTGGAGTAGATGAATATAGTGTGTCTTACTGCTGTCCTTTCCGGCTGTAGCTCCCACCAGTTAATTCCGAACTGGGGGTGGGCTGACCTTGATGTGAAAGAATGTTGGAGCAGCATCCTGCCAAAAAGCAACTCACGTTGGCTCTCCTGCCAGTGTGCCCTGAGTGGCCCCAAGGCACCTGGCTGGAGGGAAAATGGCAAACTTTTGGCTGACTGGAGAATGTCCTAACAAACCCCCTTCCAGAATGGCTTTAGTCTCTAGTGCCTGCTAGCATGGGAGCTTTGTCTTGAATTCCTTTTGATCTGCCCCGTTTCTCTCCAGCCTTAGGAATAAATCTAGAGGCTATTGTGCAATGATCTGTGGGCTTTTAGAAGTCTCTAAATTTCCTTGAAATTCAGTACAGCCCAGCATAAACTACTCAAGTTCTTGACCAGCCTGCTGCTTTGTTCTTGTTAATAAAAGCAGTGTGTAGCTGGCTAAGGACTTGTTTTATTAATGCTCCACAGGAGCAGAGACAGCCAGACAGAGAGACATAGTGAGCCCTGAACCAAACACCTGTATTCCAACATTTTACACAGTGGTCTGGGCACCCTGTGCCTAGGAGAGCCAGCCACGTGTCTACCTGAGTCTGACCTGGGCCAGGGACTGTTATCTTGGGAAAGCCAGAATGCCATTAAGAAAGGGACAAACAGGCAGTTGCTTGTGTAGCAAGGCAGCCACCAGGTTGCTCAAAGGGGGTTCTACATAAACCAACATATTTTGTTGTTGCTTCCAGGGCAGCAGAAGAAGCCTTTGTAAATGACATTGACGAGTCATCCCCAGGCACTGAGTGGGAACGGGTGGCCCGGCTGTGTGACTTTAACCCCAAGTCTAGCAAGCAGGCCAAAGACGTCTCCCGCATGCGTTCAGTCCTCATCTCCCTCAAGCAGGCCCCGCTGGTGCACTGAAGAGCCACCCTGTGGAAACACTACATCTGCAATATAATCCTACTCAGTGAAGCTCTTCACAGTCATTGGATTAATTATGTTGAGTTCTTTTGGACCAAACCTTTTTGTCTTTAGAGTTGATCATTGTTTGTGATTGCATGTTTCCTTCAACTGTGTTCTCCCTGGCATTCAGAGAGGAGGGGGAGGAGCAAGAGGAAGGGGAGGGAAGCCTCCCAACAGTAGCCTCAACCTGTGCTTTTGTGCATTATTCTGAGAATAAATTTCTGTTTCAAACTGTATTATGTGAAGCTTCTTTATTGACCTCAAGATGTGTTGTAGTTTGGAGTGAGGTTGGAAGGGTTGAGGAATTTCCTTGAAATTTGTAGGGCTGAGGAGGCACAGCCACTGGGCACACAGCCCTGCCTTGAACTGAGATAGCGCCAGGATCTAGAGTGGGATTCTATGGACATTTTCATTTGAGAAGGGAGTTTAATGGCTGAGGGGGTTATAGCGCCGGGATCTAGAGTGGGATTCTGTGGACATTTTCATTTGAGAAGG